CACATAAAAGCAGATTGCATAACAAGAAGGCATGGTCAGACAATAACCAAAGGAATACGACAAAAGAAGCGACAAACATATAAAAGAATCACTGACCTTGAGACATGAGTTAGCAGCGTCCTCATCAATTTCCCTGGTGGTCATCTGGCTCAAAATGAAGTCATCCGCATAGGGCCGGATCTGCAAGAGGAAATCCATGCTATGAACAGTTCCACCGACAAAGTTGTGGTCCCGATCCATGCGGTACTTGAACCACTGGTTATCCGGATCGGGATATGAGCGACAGCTGGGAAAAATAGAGCAACCGGCATCAGGGTGGCTAGAAGGGCTGGCCTCACTGCCCCCCTCCACATGCGCATCTGCCGATGGAATGGTCCCACCACCTCCAGGAGAAATATGGACCTGCTCATGCCGCAGTTCCTCACCTTCACTCTCACTCTCCAGAATCACCACATCTTGTTGGGAGGAGAGGGGGATTCTAGCAGTCTCAGCAGGCTCAGCGTTACTTTGGGGAGAGGCAGTAGGGATATCAACGTCCATGTCATCCACCCTAGCATCCTTACTGGTGACTGCATCCTGGCCATGGGGAGATCCCCCCAAAGGGGAGCCCGGGGCGGCACTCTGACCTGCATCAAATTGATCACCTGCATTGACCTTCACCAAACCCATATGAGGATCATGGGATGCCTCGGTAGCAACAGTAGGGAGACCAGTATCATCTGGGGAATCACGTGCAGAACCTGCGACTTCCCCTTCACTCTCCTCAGAAGAGGAAGAGGATCCACTGGAGGAGGACCCAGATCGCTCATTCTGAGCGAATTCCCTTTGGACCCAGTCCAAAAGGGAAAATATATTCGGACAACTTGTGAACAATGAAAGCTCAACATCGGTGAGGCCCCAAGACAAGAATTACAAATTATATGGCCGCGTAGAAATCACAACAAGAGGAATATACATACCAGGAGGGGCAGCCCGAGCCTCAGGCGGGGTAGTAGTTGGATTTGGAATCTGCTCCACTTGCTCAACCCTCTCCTCAGATAGGGCGGCAGCCTCATCCTTCTCATCTTCCTCAGAATTCGGCGTAGCAACAACCCCATAACCGGGCACAAGACCCTCAATTGCTGGGATTGCTGAAGAAGGAGCTACGTTCTCCTCCTCCCTTTCGTCCGCAACAGGGGTAGCAGCAGCTGCCACCCCTTCGTCACCCAACACCGCCAAGGGAGAGAAGCTGGTGCATTTCAGGACCTCCCCGATCCTCTTCTCGGTAACCAATTTTCCGATTTTGCTCTGATTGAGTTTTAAATACTTCTTCACATCATCGGCATACTCGCCCAGGTCACTCGCATTGTGCTTGCGGGCAATCACTGACTCCCGGGTGACGATCTGGACATCGGTGGAAAACGGGGACACTGCGGACTCTGCCTGACGATTTGTACAGACATAGAAGAACCTGCCCTTCTACCTGCGGTGTGAGGTCGGGGTGTCGGGGAAACCACTGTGGCCCCAACCTGGGCTATGGAGGCATAGCTCGGTTACCCTTCGAGGGGTTGCGGCCAATGTTAAACAGGCAACGGAAAAGACCCACACTGGGAGCAATATTTGATCCCATACAACGCATGAGGAAAGCGGCGATATAGTAGAACCCATTCAGAGTGAGTTGGCAGGGAAGCAGGCCGACCCAGTCCAAGTACTCAGCATAGAACGGGTGAAGGGGAAATCTGAAACCGTGCTTGACAGCGTCGTAGTAAATAACGAAGAACCCCGAAGGGCAAGAGGAAGGTAGCTCACCTGCATCCGGCCTCATCATGACAACACTAGGCCCGCAGAAGCGCCTCACTTCATCCCACTCTCTATCGGACAGGGAACAAGCAGTTGCGGAAACGGTAAAACCATCCAAAGTAAAACACTCGGGGTTACCCTTGACGTTCTTCTTGGGAGGTGCCCTACGACCCGACCGTGCGTTCAAGGGCACAACTTCAAGGGCTGAGGTCGCATCCGCAAGGTCATCGGTGAGACCAGCCTCCCTCAGGGCAACAACATCATCGTACCCCAGTGGTAGATCATTGCTAGCCCTCCCCGGTGTTTGCAGAAACACTTTGGGAAGACATTTTTCAAAATATGCAGAAAAATACACGCGCATGCAGACAGTCAAAATCCGGGGCTAAGGACCAATAGTCCGACCTCCAAACAAAAATCAAACACTCGAATCGGCATCAGCATGCGATTCCGAGTCCAGAGGTGCCAACCTCATCAAGAATAGGGGACTGTAAACCCCCCTGTTCACAGAGCCATATTTGACGGAAAACCCCTTATTCTGGGTTTCTTCCGGCCAAACTACGGCAGGCGAGGAGCGAACAAACAGAGCCGGAGACTAACCTGGTTAGGGGAGTCGACGGAGAAAGCTTGAACTTCGGAAGCACTGACCAGAGAAGACGAGCTCTTGAAATGCTTGAAAACTCTGAAAACTCGAATGCAAAAGAAAGCGCAAAGGAGAAAGACGAAAACTTTCGTCTTTTATACTTCCCTTCAAAAATGAACAGGAGGCTTACATGTGGCGCAATACTCTCCAGCCGCCCAAAAAACTTAAAGGTTTTTTCAAAAAGGCGTGCAAAAGACGCAATGATGGCGCCGTACAATCACTTCAAACGCCATCCCTCGCATTAAATGCTGAGAAGCGGCTATTAATTCATAATGTTGCAAAAGGAATGTGTAATGATTCCTATTTGTACACATCAGCCTTACTACACGCCACAAATTCTCCTAAGTCCACCAAGCGATAAATACAACTGCCTCATCCCCCTCAAACTCATACTCTTCCGCACTTAGAAAATATTCTAAGTCCACAAGAGTGGGGGACTGGTAAGTGGGGGACTCGGGAAAGAAATCAAAAAATAGGAAAAACAAGACTACAACAAACAAGCTCAGAACAACACAGCTACCTCGGGCTCAACACCAAACAGGTATATCTTCAAGCTACGCACATAGATTAAAATTCCTTAGAATTTTTTTCGAAAATCTTTTATCAACCCACGGCCAGGACTGTGGATGTAGCAGCTAACCCATGAGGCAGGTTTAGAACGCGAAATACACGGATCTCGAGCTCGGATTTCTCTGCAGCGGGGCGTCGCTTTCCTCTCTGGACATCATGGCAAAGCGGAGTATACTCTTTTTCCTCCGTTAGGATTTTTTCCCACATAGTTTTTTCCTCAGCGGAGTTTTTAATGAGGTACCCCTTTGTCATGACCATGGAAGAGCAGCACCCCTGCCAGGCGAACGTGCCCAGGAAATTGAAGATTTACTCTCTCTCACCTCAAGTTTCACTTTCGCTTCGGAGAGTGGGGGACTCATGATGGAGTATATTCCCGTATACCCCAGGGGTATCATAATCGCCGGTAGAAAATATCACGGACGCATTCTGAAGTACGCAAAATATTAAGTCCACACTCCAAGACTGACCCCGACCGCCGAGGTCGGGAAAACACCAAGCTCAGAATCAATCAAACTCAACGAATGACAAGGCTAGTAGAGCCCGACCCCGACCCCGAGGTCGGGAAAACAACAGGCTCGGGAATCAACCGAACTCGGCAAGTTAAGAGCCCGACCTCGATGCACCCGAGGTCGGTACCAGGTCTGACCCCGGAAGTCAAACACTCGGTCAACAGTGGCCAAGCACTAGACAGTCAACTACCTCAAAAGGCGGACACATGAGACAAAGGGGTGAGTCCTCTCATCACGGGCCCGAGCTCCCGGACATCGACATCAATAATACCCCAAGGTCTGAATAAAGCATCATGGACTTAGACAAAATCCGCAGGGGTCTACCTCACCGGGGGAAATCGCCACGTCACCAGAGAATATTCTCAGTTACCCGCATGTAGCCACATGGGTATCCTGGCAGCAATTCTATTAGAAGCCAACTCCAATCAGCCAGTTATTGAAGACTCTCTCTCCAATCAGCTTTACACGTGGCTTCTCCCATCAAATTAGGTTGTTAGTTTGTTAGAGTAGCTTTACACGTGCCCCTCTCTTATTAGACTAACATCTTTTGCTTGGGCACCAAGTATTTCCTTTTCTTCTTAGTATGAATATCACCTTCCAACTTGTGGAAAGGGATGCTTAATTGGTCGCACTCTAAATTCCATACTGTAAGACTTGCAAACCAGTTCACTCTCTCCCTTTCTTCTCTTATTCTTGGTGGATTCTGGCCACCCCTGGTCCGACGATCCATCAGAAGGTATGGAGGGATTGGGGAGGGGGGCTGAGGTGGGGGTTTGGGGCTGAGGAGGATAGGGTAGGAGCCATCGATGGCGGCGGTCGGAATGTTGTGGCGGTGGCCATAGTTGGTGCTACAACGGCGTAGGTGGCGACCGGCGGGGATGTATTGATGTTTTATTGTTGTCACTGTTAGCCGGACATGGTTGGGGTTGGGAGGGTGACGGTCGCGGTGTCAGCAGTTGCGGTTTCCCAAGCGGAAACTATGGAGGTTGTATAACATTTTGACTGGAAAAATGTGTCGAAAATTTTCCGAAGACTTTTCCGGCGGCACAGTGATACGTTTCACGACGTCAATGACATCTGATAGTGACATTCAAAGGTGACCTAAAAATTTGACAGCAAGCCATATTTTCAAAATACGAAGTATAAGACACATTTTCGTCCCTTTCAAAAAAATGGGCACATATTTAAAAATTGATTTTAATTTAATACTCTCTCCGTCCCGAATTGAATTGCAAACTTTGACTGGCAAAAGGATTAATGAATGGTAATAAATGATGCTTGTTTTTTACACTTTTGTCCATCTTCCTAAAAGTAGATGCCTTTAAGTTAATGAAAAAAGTAAAAGTAGGAACAAATTTGTCACTTTATTGTTATTTACATACCTAAAAAAGAAAGTGGAAAACAATTTTTGAACAACCAAATAGGAAATTTTACAAATCAAATTGGGAGGGATGGAGTAATATTCAAGGAAAAACTCATAACTATGATGAGAGATATTTGATGTCCACGTATAGAGTATGTACGTATGTATGTATATTCATTTTCTAATTTGTGTCTCCAAATAATTAAAAGGCATGTAGCCATACCTACTTACTTGGACACCAGCCCAGCCTCTGTTCCTTGTCTCGAGAAAACCCATCCTCGATCCGGATTTTCTTTTTGGATTTATTTTTTATTGTATATCCTACGGGTATGAAAGAATCAGGCATGAATGCCCCCGTTTTCTGCATACCATATTAATGAACTGTAAATATGATTGGACCACACACACAACTCAGAAAAACAATGAATGGAGCGTCACCGTCGACCAGCCCAAGAATCTCATTCTCCTTTTCGTCCGCCCATCATTACCCTGCTCACTCCCACTCGGATTTCCATTTCCGCAACTTTGAGGGAGAAATAAGCGCCGCAGCTTCCTCGGCAGACGAGATCTTCTCCAACGGCGGCTTCATCCTCCCGCTTCGGCAAAGGGATCTGCAGGCTCCGAAAGATGAGAAGGTGATGAAGAGCCAGCAGCAGAGTAAGCCGGCTGCTGCTGCTTTCTGGCGCAGTGGTTCGAGGAGGCGGCGGCAAAGCGAGATGCAGAATGCAGCAGGAGATCAGCAGCTGAAGAGAGGGTCGGTTTGGTCGTTTCAGCCTCTGCCGCGCAGCTACTCCACCGGGTCGGAGCAGACCAGCAAGGAAAAGGCTCACAGATTGAAAAGCGCGTCTTGTTCTTCTTCTTCCTCGTCGTCTTCTTGCAGCTTCTACGAATTTCCGCTGTCGACGTCGTCACAAAAGAGGACGGCGAATCCCGGAAACGGCGCCGTTCGCATTAATCCGGTGCTTAATGTCCCGCCTCCGAGTTGTATCTCCATGGGCACTAGGAACCTCTTTGGCTTGGGATCTTTGTTCAGGAGTGGCAATAAAGATAAGAAGAAGGCTACCAGGAAATAGTAATAATACCATAATTTCTTTCACATATGCTTTAATTGCCTCATATCATAAATAAAAATAATCTCAATTTAAATTTGAAATCTGTCATATAAATAAGTGTAATGATCTACTTTTCACATTATTAAATAAGTGCAACAATCTACTTTTTATGTTTGACTATACACAATTTTGATCATTTTTCAATTAATTATGTATTAGTAAAAATTTTAAAACATTCGAATTTTAAAATTTTGTGATGAGACAAATATAATTTTTTTATTAAAAATAACTTATTAAAACGTAATAAATAAAATAATACATGTGAATAGTCTAAAAATTAAGATGTTACGTTGTACTTATTTAAGAATGAAATATATATACTACAATAAATTGCATTTGCCCCATCTCATTCTTAGGTCCATTTCTTTTATTTTAACTGTTAATCTTAATAGAATTTGATAGCTCGAAGCATCTAAGATGTCTCTCTCCAATTGTACCTCTACTCTAATTGTGTTCAGCTTAATTAGCTTAATTAGAGTTGTTTTGGTAACACTGGTTTTTAGCTTATCAGTCAACTTTTTCAACAAACACGTAACTTTTGATTTCGCACGTTGAATTGTATAATAATAAGAAAAAAAATAAGATTAGAGTAACTTTTATGGCTGTATCGGCTGAGGTTACTATAGAGGGTCATTTTAGCTATTTTTACATGTAATTTTTATTTTATTTTATTAATAAAACATTATTTAAATATAATTGTTTCATAAATCAACAGAATCAACCACTTCAGTCACTTGAGCCAAAATTTCAAAAACGCAGAATCAACCGATTCATCCAATTTTGATATTAATAGTTTTTAATCCAAACACTATACATACTTCACTACAATTCCAGAAAATGATACACGGAGGACATCACTTCCGTGAAAGCTAAAATTCTTGCAAATAGGTGAGGGTAAAGCATTTATAATGCATTATTTTTTGAAGGAACATTTATAATGCATTTGATTAGTCCACATTGCAATTTTATTACTTTTGTACTAGTATGTCTTAATAAATTATGATAATTCTATTGATCTATGATACTTGGAGAGTATTATGGAATTTGCGTTCTACTTTTATTAATTTTTGTAGTTATGGGTAACAATATCACATTTGACAAGTTAGTGGCGGTGATTTAATTGACTTGTCAAATCATACTCCTTTTTAAATAACAACCGTATTTGGCGTATGCACCAACAATTTTTTTAATCGATGAGAAAAATATTCTCTGTACAAACAACATTTCTTTTAAGTAAAGCAAACTCAATGGGGTCTAATTACATGATACAATTGGGTTGTATAAATATTGAGTAATGATGAAATGATAATAACCAATCTTATTAGTGGTAGGAAATAATAAGTGGTTTCATAACATATGTGATACACCGTATTATATATACTGTTCACATGGACGTTCATTTTCATGGTTACAATCAATTTATATTTATACACTTGGTTTTTTTATGATACGGAGTATACACTGCGTATTTATTACTCCGTAAAAGGGAGGGAGTATATTAATCATATCGAAATACCGAGGTGTTCAAAATGTTTCAATAAATAATTAAAAATTCTCAGTTACGTTATGATACGGAGTATACACTGCCCCAGTTTTAATTAATTACTCCGTAAAACAAGCTTAATTATAGAGTCCGAATGAAATACTGTATTTATTTTCTTTCACGGCTCCGAATTTTAACCTTGTTCCCTTAAAAGTTATTGAGAAATTTCAGATTCCTGGAACAGTGGGGCTGGGCCAGGACGATATAATGAGCATATATACATACATATATATATATGTTTTGGTTCAAATAAGAACATGATCTTAGGAGAGAAATGAGAATGAATATGAACCGTTAGATTTGCTTTGAGTGAAATTCAATGTGCAATATATGAAACTGTAATGTGCATTAGGTGAAATTGAAATGTGCAGCACAAAAGGTACGATACAATGCCATTATGTGAAGCTGAATTGTGCATTAGATGAAATTGAAATTTGCACTAGGTGAAACTGAAATGTGCAAAATAAAAGGTATGATGTGCTGATATTTTTGTACCTTTTATTCCGCAAATTTCGGTTTCAGCTAATGCACATTTGAATTTAAATTTTTGTTTTGCACATTTCAATATCATCTAATGCACATTTCAGTTTCACTAAACGCACAATTCAAATCCACATAATACAATCCAACGGTCTAGATTCATTCTCATTTCTCTCCTCGAAGTCCGTTCTTACCGGAACCGCTATATATATATATATATATATATATATATATATATATATATATATACACATATACATATACATATATATACATATACATATATATACATATACATATACATATATATACATATACATACATATACATATACATACATATACATATACATATACATATATATACATATATATACATATACATATATATACATATATATACATACATATATACATATATATACATACAATAATAAAGGTACCCTATAGACGAGGGTACGTTGTGAACCTCTGCGGAGACATGCAGACGGGTACTCTTTCCTGCTTTTAGATCGGTCGGGTGGGATTAATTAACAGGATTGGATGACTGATGAGTTCTTCCAATATACTACGAGTAGTATTATTATGGTTGCCCAATATATAATTGGAGAGAAACGCCAAATGTCCCAATTCCTTTTTTAAGCTTTCGATCCAATTTTATGAGAATGTTTTTTATTATATGTAAATTATTTACACAATATTTCATCCTAAAAATCAATTGAAAAGTTAGCTCAATATAGATTATTAAAAAACATTGTGCCTACACTTCATATATATAAAAGGGAAAATGGAAACTAATAATCCAACTTTTTATCGATTTTTTTACAATAGTCCCACCTTTCTATTTATTCATGAATAATCCAACTTTTACACCCCATCTTCATTCACTGGTCCCTGACCGATTTATGACCTGTTATTCCAAGTTATTTTCTTATCTTTGTAAAACATTATATCATAATTCCCACCTTATGATCACATAATGTTTTGCAAAGCACTAGTGCAAAATCGTTAATCAGAGGCGCTTCAAATGGCTCACGTGCGGCGCTTTGAAGCGCCTCTAAAAAATGTGCCGCAAATCTCAATTGGAGGCGCTTTTTTGACTGGAAGCGCCTCTAATATTTAAAAAAAAAAAATAATTTCGGAATTTTGCGGCGCTTCTTATAGAAAAAGCGCCGCACGCGTGGCCCAAACAGAGGCGCTTCTGATGAGTTTTTTTATTTAGAGGCGCTTCTGACGAAAAAAGCGCCTCCAAAATGTGCTACGTAAAATGAATTAGAGGCGCTTCTAACCTTAAAAACGCCTCCAAACTTGGCTCCGTATTCTGTTTTAGAGGCGCTTTTTTCACAAAAGCGCCTCCAAATTTTATTATTATTTTTTATATTTTTTTTAAAAATACTATATAACCTGTTTTATTTACAGATCCATTGTCAACCAAAAAAACACATTCATTCATTCATAAAACCAGAATAACGATAAAATCGTTTCGCACAAATACAATTCAAAAGGTACAAATTTGTATCACAATATAATAAAACTACATTCAAGTTTGACTCAGTTCTAATGTCATAACACTTCATCTACAAAAAACCTAGCCCATACTTTTCTAATGTCATCAAACTCCTCCGTTGTATATGGCTCAGTTCTTGAATTCCAAACCTGAAAGTAATCATAAAAATATAGATAAAATAAGTAATGACAAACTAAATTATACTATCGTATATAAGTTAAATGATTTAATGAAATCCACCTATTGAAGTATATATAATTTAAATACCTGTGCAATATCTGAACTTCCAACAGAAGTTATTATTTCCCAAATAAACTTCATCACATAATATCCACATTCTGTGTTGCCCGTTTGTCTTGCACACTATATATTAGATGACAAATATACATTATTATTTTATAATATGATTTTTTTTACATAAAAGCATAACTTATGTAAATAAGAGAAGATATATGATGAAAGTACCTTCATATTATGCCATTTGATCGGCTTGCCACGACCCTTTTGTGTAGACGCAACTCTATACATCCTATAATGATAATTAAGCTCAATGTATATATATATGCTCAATGTTGACATACAAGTATAAATGTTAAATATAAATGTTAAATATCACAACTAAATCATTAAAAATACATACATCGTAAGATCTTTTTGAATAGCAATATTGGAATAACTTGGCAATGAATTGAAAATGTAGCCCTTATCAACCTTTGGACAAATTACAAACAAAACCCAATGATACCTATATTTCCAAAGAGAATAGAAAATGGGTTAATATTTCATATATCACGATCAATAAATATAATATGTAAAAGTGAATGTAATATATGAATCATACCCTTCATTATATGCCAAGAGAATGATATTCTTTTCAAACATTTCAGTCAGAGCATGCTTCATGTAAGTCAGTGTGCCCTTTTTATCCAATTGATAATACTTAAAAGAACAAATCCAAGGACACAAAAGACCCACATCATCACGACCAAACTCAATCAGTTTTGCATTTACACAACTACATGCATGTGAAATTATAATATTAATAATTAGTCAATAGTAATTAAGTCCAACAAATATTCAAGAGTGCTTGAAAACTTATTATAATACTTACACCATAAAGGTCTGAATAATTGAAAGATCAACAGAATCACTCTCAAGAAATTGACTCAAGTCTTCACGGTCAACAACGGTCCCAAATTGGTTATCATCAATATAACAGAACAACTCCGCAGGAAGAGGAATAGAAAACTTACAAAGATCGGGCTCATACCACTCAAGATTTTCATGCAATCTTAAAAGATCATCTGTAAGTGAATGAAGAACAATTTCACTGACCAATGAATGTGAGCTGGGTTCAACCGTTACTTTTGGTGAATCTCTCACGATAAAGGGTACTTTTTTCTTAGCTCCATCCTTCTTTTTTGACTTAGATGGTGGTTCCTAAAATAATTATTACATAAAAATGTATGAAAGAATTTCATATCGAAATAAGCAACAAAAGTAAAAAATATGAAACAATAACTTCATTACCTCTCCCTAAAAAAAACCAAATGAGATGGCCATTGAAC